TCAACTCATTCCCTCATCTGAGGGACACACTGTGACTCCAGCAAGCAAGCTTATAATGATACCAAGTCTCTCAAGTCAAGATTTTGGGTTGCTGATGAGTAAAATGAGGTGCTTAACCTTGCTAGGAGATCCTACCATGCCGCATCTTAAAGGATCTCCTTTTCAGAAGGCAGAAGTTAAGCACTTCATAAACACTTCTGAAAATCCTGACCTTTACAGCATCCCCTCAGTGGAAGAATGTTACAGCAGTGTTTACACGCTCTTGGCAATGCAAGGTTGTTCTCCCAGTTCAAAGTACTCCATGATGTGGAGGTGAATTCCTCCGGCATCCACACGTACCCTTGGCCATGAATCATTTGTTTGCAATAAGCAGCAAAGTTCTGTGTTTGCTGATGGTGGTGAAGATAAAAGCACTGCTGGCTTGCATTTGTTCCCCTTCCATTTTAGGTGATCCAAACAGATCAGTAACCCAGAAAACTGTCTTCTCCAAGAATTAGGAGTGCATTTTTTATCTATTTTTTTTTTCCCTGTGCATATGTTTTTCTCTGTGCACGCATGATTTTCTGTGCACGCATGATTTTCTGCACAGGTGTTTTCTGCAAGCATTTCATAAATCATTTTCATAAACCCAAGTGGAAATAAAGTAATTTCCATAGTGCTTTCTGTAGGTCATTTTCAGTGCAACTTGAGTTGCTCATTGAAAACGTTTGGGCTGCTTTATATTGACCTCATGTGATTTAATAAAACATAAAAAGGTAGATTTAAGTTGGATATTAGGACAAAGTTCTTCAATATGCGGTTGGTAAGTCATTGGAACAGGTTGCCCAGAGAGGTAGTGGAGGCCCTGTCCCTGGAAACATTCAAGGTCAGGGTTGATGGGGCTCTGAGCAACCTGCTGTAGTAAAGATGTCCCTGCTCACTGCAGGGGGGTTGGACTAGATGACCTTTGAGGGTCCCTTCTAACCCAAAACATCCTATAATTCTGTGATTCTAAATCCCTTTAGCTGACAGGCATTATTTAATACCCCAACATCCAAAATTCTGGCTCATGACTATCTGATTTCACAGAATTTTCCCCTCCTGATAAGTACATGCTGTGTCTTGAAGGTCTTACACTATCTGAAGCACATGAGACCCTCAGAGATGTGGTGGCTTAGCAGGTTACTAGCACAGAGTTAATGGTTCTCATCAGCTCTGAGTGATGTGGGGACAGGACATGAACAAGAGTAAGAATAGACACAAGCTTGAAAAATTGATCAACCATACCCAGTATTTCTTCAACATAAACCCACCTGCCTCGTGCAGCATGTTGGTTGTTGCAGATAATTTCTCTGCTGATGGGTTTTTATAACCTGAACAAGAAGATGGTCTGGAAAATCCCATATCAGCTGGTTCCTCCCAGAAAAGTTGTGTCAAGAGGTGAGCTCAGGCAATGGGAGATGCAGAAGAGCATCTCATTGGGTTCAAATCAGACAGAACTAAAAGATTAACTAAAAAAAAAGTGCCCACATTTCTGGGGAGAACTGTAGTTTTGGTTAATTTTTCAATGCTTTCAATGGTTTCGAAAGCAAAATGATAAGTTTCAGATGCATTTGCAATTTTATTTCCTTTCTTGAAAGGGAAAAGGCTCTGCAGCATGAAGAGGGTTGTTTAACATGTCACATTTTTGGGTCTTTATTGAATTAAAAGCAGGAAATCTTTCCCTGAGCAGAAAAACCACACATTTTTCTAGTTGTTTGCCACAACATCAAGCAAATTTTTAACCCCATTTCCAGGGCACTAAAACTATTTTGTGGGACTAGAGCTACAGAAGGGAAAAAAAGTATTTTATTTGGCTTTCCTCCTCTTGGAGAATTAGTCTGTATTTTGTATTCATCAGTGGTCAGAGGTTTTCTCCTGAGCCTCATGATCTGAACCTGCTAAGTAAGGCAAATCCAGATTAAAGCCTCTCGCAACAGAAATACTGGAGAGATCATGAGGGAAGCGGTTGGGAGAAGAGACAGGCAGGAGGGGAATACTGCATTGCTACACTTTTATTTTTTTACCATTTTTTCCCATTTAGAATTTCCATAGAAGTCCCAAAAAAGGTTGAAATTTGAAATTTCTGCAAGAGGGGCAATTAATTTATCCCTTCTCCTTGGACCTGTTTCTCAAATCAAAGCCAGTTGTAGAAATAGGGGGTGGACATGCTGGAAGGAAACATGCTGTGTCATTTTAACTTTAAATGGTCCTTATTTGGGGGTGAAAGCTTGGGTGTCCCCCAAAGTTCTAGCATTGGTGCCTCCAACTGAACCAGTTCTGAGGTGCAGAGTCCAAATTCAAATGTAGTTTGGTTTGACTGGTTGATCTGGACATTCCTCTTTTCTTAAGGTTTCTCCTGCCTTGTATTGCATTGGAGGAGTTTTAATCTTTCAGATAGCTCTGCACAAGGCCAAAAGAGCACAAAAATATCTCTTTTTATGGTGTTTTGCTTGAAGACAGTTCTGGCCTCTTGAGAAGATGAGACCTCCTGTCATGGTGAGCCCCCTGAATAGCTCTGGCTGCAAGAATTATTATTCTTAATGTTATTTTAACACAAGCCCAGGCACTGACCTCTCCTGGGTTATGTAGGTCCCTGAGAGATCAAGGGCAAGTTCCAGACTGTGAGATAAAATTGACCTCAAAGGAAGCCAATTATATATAGCCAACACACTCCTCTGACCCTTCTCCTCCAGCACTGCAGTCTTCCTTTGCCTTCGGGTCTTGCATGTCCCTGACTGCCCCATCAGCTTTCAGACAGCTCCAGCATCCTCCTCCCCATTCCTACCTGGGTTGTTTTGTTTTCTTTTGTTTTGTTTTCTGATCATCCCTTTTCTGTCTTTTCTCTCTTCCAGGATAGCATCACCAGTCAAGAAGGTGATGGACCATCCCACCTCCTAAGTAGATGCGTATCTGGCATCGAAGGCATCACTATGTCAGGTCCCCAAAGGTCAAGACTGAGAAAATTGGAGAAGACACCTTCTAATGCAGCTCCTTCACCAGGCTGGGGCAGAGTCATATCACTCCTACAGACCCAGCTCCTCTTGTCTATACCAACACTAGACATCCTTGTCCATGCCATGGACTGGACCTTACATCCCGCTCCCTCCTCATTTCCTACATCTCCACAATATCACCACATCCAACCACCCATCTGACATCTCCCCAGGTCCTCTCCCACACACACTGCTGATTTCCACCCCAACAGCATCACTTTTGCTCCTTTTCCCATCGCATCAAGATCTCAGCTCCTTGCCCTCACCTCTGGAGACCTCTCCCATCCCCACAACACCCTATGCTGTGTCCCTGAGGACATCCTCATTGCTCCCCTCCAACACTTATCCCCATAGGGATGTTTGCAAAAGGTCATGGTGACATTCCTGGGATCTGCTGGTGGCATGACCAATAGCAGGGAAGGCAGAGGAAAGGACAGGCAAAAACAAATGGAGTTTGGGTGAAGCTTGGATGGTGATGAACATCAAAAGAAAAAGGTAGGATATAATTATATTTATTTTCCTTCTACTTAGGCACCTCTGTCCTTAAATAAGGACAAAAGAAAAAGTCTATTAATAGAAAGCAAGGAAGAAACCATAGCAGGTGACCTGCTTTATTTGACTGGATTAAGTGTGGGATTACAGGTGGGTTTAGAAATGTCAATAAAGGTTCCATCAAATTCTTCCCTGTTGCTGCTTGTTTTTTGGGAATAGGAGGGATTTGCAGTGGGTCATTCAGATTAAGAATCCGGTGGAGGAAATTGAACAGGGCAAGAGGAAAGGGAAAAGAAACTAAAACACAATGGTGGCCCTGGGACTGTCAGTTTAGAAATGCTTCTGTGTGTTTTCCTTGTTAAATGCAATTCTTGCAGCTGCAGTAACAAAAATCCTGGATGCAATGAGTTGCACGTGCTCTGCAGGATTTTTGGTGGCTCCTTGAAGGTTGGGAAGAGAGAGAGAAATGAAGGGAGAGAGAAGAAGAAGAAGGTGATGGTAGAAGGGCTCTATAGAGGTGATGTAAAGCTGATCTGAGCAGATGGCTTCCTGCCACCTAAAACTTCCACGTTGCGAAATCCCATTAAGTGCAGAGTTTAATAAAGTTCTGGATATCAAGAAGAAGCAGCTATTTAAAACCTTGGTCACCTGCCAAATGTGGCTTTATGACCCATATTTCCTGTCCCAAATCACTTCTCCCTTCTCTCTTCTCCTGGCCATGCTCACTCCTTAGGAAATGGCCTCATTAGTAAAATGAAATGAGCAGTGACAGTGCTGCCATAGCTGGTCACTAGTCCAAGTTGTTCCCATGCAGGTTTGTATGGGGTTAAATTAATAAAATGATAAGGATTCCAAGAACCCATGTAGGGCAGATCCTCTGGATGAGCCCTCACCCTTTATAAAGGTTTAATTTCTTTCATCCCAGTGGGGTATGACATCGTGTTGCTGCCAAGGGAGCCCAACACCATGCTGGAAGCACGAGCTTTCTGATATACTGTGTTTCAGGTGATGAGAAAAGAGCCCAGAGCAATTAAAGACACGAAGAACACCAAGAAAACAATGATCATTTGTTGATCTAGACAAATTATATTTATAAAAACACATGCATTCAGCAGAAATTATGACTCGTCATCCCATTTCTGAATGAAAACAATGCAAAGGAAACTTTCAATAATTCATCTCTTGCTTGGAAATATCTTGAAAAAACTGGTTTCCAAGCCAGACTGGAAGTGTGAGTCTTCTGCTGGGGAGTTTCAACAGTGCTGAATATAGACAGGACATTTTTTCTTCTTCTTTGTACCTTTTATGTGCCCTACAGGGACTAAAAATGAAAACTCTGTCCCTAAATACATGCAAACATTGGGAAAATCAAGCCCTTCTCCCTACTGTATGGACCATATGTTAACTGTGAGTAAGGGCAGGTTGTGAAATAGTTCCAGAGATAAGGGAAAACTTGAAGCTTCATCTCCATGGTTTCACCTTGCTTGAGGAGCTCTATATAAATTCCAGGTGTTTGTCTTCTGGAATGTTATATTTAGCTTTGTGCTCCTCAAAGAGCTTGCACAATTCGTTTAGGTATTTCTGATGGACTTGATCAACTTCTTCCTTGGAGGGTCTGTGCTTCCTCTGCACTGGAATCGGCTTCCCAACTGGAAAACAAGCAGAGGGATTAGGAGGAGCCAGTGTCAGATCCCTCTGGACACTTTGCACATCTTAGTACAGAGCTGGGGTCCACCTCTCCAGGGGTGTAGTGATGGATCGATATGACCAGTCACGTCCTGGGGTTTGGGAGGCTGTAGAGCCAAGGAGGTAGGCAGTTGGAAGTTCAGATCCTGACCTCCTAGCTCACTTCTATCCTTGCCTCAGTTTCCCCATCTGCAAATTTAGTTAATGCCAAAGACCTCTGTGTAGCTCTTTGAGGTACAAAGTACCACATCCCAATGTCATCCCTACAGCTGCTCCTAACATCTCAGATGTGCTGTGGATCAAGACAACATCATCCTAATGTTTGGGTTGGACTTTCCAAGCTGTTCCAACATGGCTTTGGATATCTGCATTGCAAATGAGGAAACTGAGGCACAGGGGAGCCCAAGATTGTCTAAATACACTAGTGATTGGAGTGCTTGTACTTTGCTGAGATCAAAGCTTCTGTGAAACATCTGATTTTTATTAGGCACCAAGTATCCATGTATCTTTAGAAAATCATGCTTTTTTCTAGGGCAAATCTAATTAATTTAATTCCCAGCACTAGAAGAAGCCCTTTCCCATCTCCCAGAGCCACCAGCAGCAGGATTGGGTACCTGCAGGGGACAGGAAAGTCCATGAGGTACTTGTCTTGCTCTGATCTCTTACTCAAATTGTGTTTGTCAAGTGGCAGAGGGTTTCATCATCATGTAATGCTGCTCCTCATCGGACTAATGAAGAGACCTTGTGATACTGCACAGCTCATAAAACCATTGAGACAATCCAAACAGGTTGTAAAACAATTAGAAGTAATTGCTGGCTGTCAAACCTAATCAGTGGGGTGAGCTCTGACTTTTCCAAACAACCTCTTTAATTAGACTAATTCACAGAGCATCAGTCATACTGGTGGGTCAAACATGGAGTTGCTGAAACCAAGTGAAACTTCTTCAAAATGAAAGACTTCCTTGAAATTTGGTCTCCCATGGGCATGGTCTCAGGTTGGAACAGCATGACTTGTTTGTGTACAAATAGTTGGGTTTTGTAGTTATCTACTGAAGACACTGAGCAAACCTGCACACCATGTAGGTATTGTCCTACTTGTGTTTGTGAAATTGGCTTCAACTCAATAGTTAAAGTGGTTCCTACCACTGGTTGCACTGGGGTTGGGATTGGCTGTATCCCACAGGGGTGACGGCATGGCCATGTTGTCTCTGGGGCTTTCTTAGCACTGCCCAGATGACCTTGGCTTTGCCATAAGACCAAGCTGGAGTCTCAAACCAACATGACATGTGAGCAGCTGGGGATGCTTCTTTGCCAGCATGTTTCTAGCCCACCACAGATCATACTCTCTGGAATGGTGCTCCAGCCTGGCAGGAGGATGACACAACTCAGGGACTGTGCCTGGTCCCACTTTGCCCAGGTTGAATGTGCCCAAGAATGACTTACCCACAGTGTAGATGGGCCGTCGGTAGGGTATCAGCCCAAAGCTGTACTGGAAGATGCCTCGTGCATGGAAGAGGGGAAGAGAGATGCCCATGATCTGCTGGAGTCGGTGCTGGAGCTGCCGCAGCCAAGAACCCTTGGGATTTCTCACTTGCTCAAAGAGGTCATTCTCCCCAAAGGAAAAGATGGGGACCAGCGGGGTGCTGTGGGGAGCCAAATCCAATGTAGGGGCATGATTAACAAAGCCTACTCCAAAACACCTTCACCCCACCTCCAAAACCAGCAGAAACACCCCATTACACAGAATCAGAGAATTGCTTCGATTGGAAAAGACCTTTAAGATCATCAAGTCCAGTCATTAGCCAAACACTGACCAGTCCCCGACTAACCCATGTCCCTCAGCACTGTGTCTACATGACTCTTCAATCCCTCCAGGGATAGAAACTCCACCACTGCCCTGGGCAACCCCTTCCAATGCCTCAGAACCCTTTCAGCAAAGAAATTCTTCCTCACATCCCATCTCAACTGCCCTGGCCACAACTTGAGGCCATTTCGTCTTGTTCTGTCCCTTGTTCCTTGGTTGGACAGACCCACCCCCACCTCTCTACACCCTCCTTTCAGGGACTTGGAGAGAGCAAGATGGTCTCTCCTCAGCCTCCTTTTCTCCAGGCTCAACAACTCCTGTTCCCTCAGCCACAAGGGAACTCAGCACTCTTGTGCTCCAGACCCTTCCCCAGCTCCGTTGCCTTCTCTGGACACGCTCCAGCACCTCCATGTCCTTCTTGGACTCAGGGGCCCAACACTGAATCCGGCACTCAAGCTGCAGCCTCACCAGTGCCCAGCACAGGGGGAAGAGAACTTCCCTGGTCCTACTGGCCACACTATTCCTGATACAGGCCAACCAGCCACAGACCAGAACATCCCTCCCCAAGTGCCCCTGGACCCCATCCCTTGAATCACCCATGCTCCATAGCCAGGCGGACAAATCCCTTTCTATTCTTCAGCAGCAAGGTGTAGGATCCTGGCCGAGCATCCAGAGCCTCCTGAGCCCCACCAACAATGATGGACAGCACGTTCCCACCCTCTGGTTTCTGCAGCACGTAGGATGCACTCTCCTTGTCGGAGGGGACAAGCCCTGGAGGGCAGAGAGGAAGAAAAAATGAGCATCTGTAAAATCCACATGATTGTGGTTTGCTCTGTACCTTTTTTCCCCATTAACCACCTTTGGAGGTGTGCTACATACTTTATTTTCAGATTTTTCCCATTCTTTGGCAATTTCAGCCCAAATCCTCTGAAAAGAGCTGGATTCATGCAGAGCTCTGCTGTGTGAATATACATTTATCCCTTTGTTGTCTGACCCAGAAGTTAGAAATGGGGAAAAAAAAAATCAGGAAAAAAAAAATTAAGAACTAGCTGAATTTAAGCCCCAGGGAAAATCTGTTTCGTTTTGCTGTCAAATGAAACCATGTCCAATCTGGAATAATTCTAAAATCAGTAAAACATCTGTTTTCGGTCAAAACACACAGGAATTTTAGTGGATGCTGCTAATTTAAAGTGAAGTTTAATGAAGAATTTGGTACCTTGGTGTTATTTACTTGTGAAAGTTAGAAATCTTTAATTCAGTAATGAAAAAGCAACATTGTTTTGAATTAAAAAAATAAAATCCATGTTTCGGGGACTGAATTAATTTGCAAATTAAAACCTCTTTGTCAAATGGATTCAATCGACCTGAAAATGAGCCATGCACCAAACTCCCACATTACAGTGATTAAACCTTCTTTCTCGTGGGTCATAACTCTCTCATATCTCACTGTTATGATTCCTCGCTCTCTGTGTAAATATTTTTTCAGCAGCAGGAGCCAGAGTTTATGTCAAAAACAGGGTGATGAATGCTCTGGTAGAAGGGCAATGGAGCTGAGGAAGGGTCTGGAGCACAAGTGTGCTGAGTTCCTGGCTGAGGGAACTGGGGTTGTTGAGCCTGGAGAAAAGGAGGCTGAGGGGAGACCTTCTGTCTCTGTCCAAGTCCCTTGGAGGAGGGTGTAGAGAGGTGGGGCTGGGTCTGTTCAACCAAGGACCAAGGGACAGGACAAGAGGAAATGGCCTCAAGTTGCACCAGGGGAACTTCAGGTTGGATATTGGGAAAAATTTCTTCACTAAAAGGGTTGTCAAGCATTGGAACAGGCTGCCCAGGGCAGTTTTGGAGTCCCCATCACTGGAGGGATTTAGGTACAGTTGGACTCGATGATCTCAAAGGTCTTTTCCAACCAAATGATTCTATAATTTTATGATCTCAGACAGACCTGGATGCCTGTGTTTAGTCTGTTGAATCCTGCCCATGACATAAGCCCATATGGCTGGAGAAGTGGCCATTCCTCAATCCCACCAGTGAGAGATGATGACCATCTCCTGTCAGTCTCCAAAAATCTCTCCAAGCTCCATTTCCCCTCTCTCCATTTAATTTGTGGTGTTGCAACAGCGTGAGGTGCCATTTGCATCCTCTCTCCCTGGCCCCTACTCCCTGCAAGCAGCAGCAGCTTTGGAATAATTAGTTTTTCTCCTTCTTTCAGTGGCAACCACAATTTCAAGCTTGAATGTTGTTTGCATGGAAAGAAATACAGGAGCACCCTGGGTCCTGCTGGTTTCAGCGTTTCTGCTCATGATTTACTCTGCATTTTGCTGTTACACAGCACCTGGCATAATGATGCCCTGACCTCAGAGGTGACCTATGAAGTTGAACAACAGAGAAAACAGCTAGGAGGGCAATTTCAAGCTTCAAAGAGTTTTGGGGTGCCACCTCCAGTAGCTGTGTCCATGCATGGGATGAGATTGACCAGATTGCCTCCCATTCCCAAGCTCCCCTGATGTTTTCACTCTCTGCTCCTCCAAAAAGCATCCAACTCACCCACCCATCCCACCACCCACCCATGCTGCTGCCCTGCTTACCTCCACTCATCACGTAGTCCCTGAAGAAGGGGATGCGAAACCACAGGGAGAGCATCATCAGGTGTGGAGTGATGCCCGGGAAGAGTGTGGAAAAACCCGTTGCCTCTGTGCAGAAGTTGAGAAAGGCTCCTGCTGCCAGGACCCCATGGGGATGAAATCCCATTACATAGTTCTGCCTAGGATCCAGCTCTGCCGTCTTCACCAGCTGGACACAGGGATGGAGACAAAAATGGGGCCATGAGTTAGTGCTGTCACCTTGGGGAATGGAGCATTGGCTATGGAGAGCAGATAGGGAATTCCTGGAGGGGAATCCCTAGCACCCATCATGCTTTCTGTGGGAAAATTTCAACTGGAACAACTCAATAATTTTTCACTGAGATGTATTTCATTGCCTGCTCTTCCATCTTCTCCCATCTATTGGCCCAAGATGTCATTTCCAATGATGCAATTCCTTATGTTGCCTTGAACTGGCCCAGATGCTGTTGGGAACCTACTTTATCTAAACCATCCTCCAAAATATTTTCTAATATGGGGAAAAAAAGCTAAAAAGTGAGATAAAGGTGATTATTTTTTCCCCCACTCCACCCCAAAACCAGAACATCAAGGGGAGTGCAGAACCACTCTGGTAATGATCCAGGTAAAGCTGCTGACTGGCTCAGAGACACGTCCCTCAACAGTATGGTGTGGACCCAAGGTTTGTCCTGGCTGAAGTACACATCAGGTGATTCACAGATGCTTTTGTACATGGTGGGGTGAGACCCAGCTCCCAGACATCTAACAGAGACAAGCTGATGGTTTTCTTTCCATTAGGGAAAGCCTCCAAGAACTCAGACACTTGAGCTTGTGTTAGGTGCCAAAATAATCCATGAGTCCATCAAAGAGCAATGGATATCTCCTCAGGTTGCTACATTTTTATTGGGATGAAGGAATGAAGGAACAGGAGATGTCCATGTCCATTCTATAGAGATAGACCACATGGATTGCAGACACAGTGCAGCACATGGACGGCCCTTGAGGATTTGCTAAGTGGCCAGCCAAAATATTTGACCAATCTGAAAGTGGGTTTGGAGCCTGGGAGATGCTACATGGGAGAATGGGCACCACAGCAGAAGAAGGGACAATTAAAGGGAGATAAGGGACAACCAGAATTTGGACTCAGTGGGTTACACTTGCTATGGACTTCCCAGATAAGGGCTGGTGTGACAAACCCACCCTCGAGTTATGTCACTGAGAAGACCCTGCCATGTCAACATCATCCAGCATGCACATATCCTAGGGGGAAGCAGTCAAAGCTGAACACTGATGCCTTTCCACCCTTTCTGTGGGTACTGAAGACGCTCACAGCACTGGAGAAGAAAGAACCCTTCCAAGGTTAGCTGTCACAGTCACCATGAATTTTCAGACAGCTCAAAGGCACTTGTGCTCAAGAAGAACCAAAGCCCTGTGCATCTCTTCTCCCAAGTAACTAGTGACAGGATGAAAGGAAACAGCCTCAAGTTGCACCAAGGGCAGTTGAGATGGGATGTGAGGAAGAATTTCTTTGCTGAAAGGGTTCTGAGGCACTGGAAGGGGTTGCCCAGGGCAGTGGTGGAGTCCCCATCCCTGGAGGGATTGAAGAGTCGTGTAGACACAGTGCTGAGGGACATGGGTTAGTCGGGGACTTGTCAGTGTTGGGTTCATGGTTGGACTTGATGATCAATGTTTTTTCCAATTGAGGCAATTGTGGGATTTCTATGATTTTAGCACGTTGCTCCTCTGAGTACCCAGGTCCCATCCTCACTTGAGGAGCAGCTAATGGTGCATGTGTTTTCCCAGAAACAGCCAGAACCACAGGTTAATCACGAGGATGTACATTATTTTCCTACATCGTGGCTAATTTCCCATCTGTCCTAAGGTACTGTTGACTCTCCACATGTGCCCATTCAAGCGCCTGCTCCTAATGAGGGGAACGGACAAACAAGAGTCCCACCACTGAACGGGTGCAGAGGTGCCTAGGCAGGAAGAGGGGCAGATGGCTGCATTACTAAGTGCCCAGGGCTGCTGCCACCATTTGCTAATTTTTAAGTAATCTCAGCTTGCATCAATGTTTCCAGCATCCATCTTCGGCTTCCAAACAGCCTTTCATCTCTGCATGATTTATAAGCAGGGAGGTGAGATGCTTGGGTGTGTTGGAAACCACTAAACCTCCAGCTGTGTGTGCACAAGATCGAAGAAGTGAGAGGTGACAGCAAGCTCATCGCCTGGTTGCACCCTAAGGTCACACCATCATCCTTGTTGATGAAGAGCTGAACTTGGCGTATCCACTGAGCTGTGGAAACTTCTTCAACAGGAAAGTTCACTTGTGCTAAGACACCTCAAATCCTTAAAAATCCTCCATAGGAGACATCCCACTGCTGCCTTGGTGCTCACCCCCATAAAAGGGGAGAGAGAACAAGAGAGGAAAGAATGAAGAATGAGGACTTTAGGGAAAACTAATTTTAAACTAAAAGAGAGATTCAGACTAGATGTAAGGAAGAAATTTTTTACACTGAGGGTGGGGAGACACTGGCCCAGGATGCCCAGAGAGGTGGCAGATGGTCCATCCCTGGAAACATTAAAGGTCAGGTTGGATGGGGCTCTGAGCAACCTGGTTGAAGATGTCCCTGCTGATGGCAGGGAGGTTGGACCTTTAAAAGTCCCTTCCAACCCCAAACATTCTGTGATTCTATGATAAGAAGTGAGGGAAGAGAAGAGGGAGGTTATGTCCCCTTACAAAGGACTGGACACCCACCAACCAGCAATCTTTCCAGCCCCATTTCTGGTTGATCATATTTCTCTTACAGCTTTCCTTTGAGATCACCTTGTGATTTGTTTTATTTGCTGTAGTATGAACTTATTTTCAGATACTTCATTTTTCATCTTGCTCTGTCTTATATTATTTTCTGGGCTTTTGGTTTGTTTGTTTGTTAGTTTGTTTGTTTGGAGGGTTTTTTAAGGCTAATTCTGGCCACAGACAAAGCCAAATGTAACCCTTGGTGGTTTGTGTTGCCTCTGGATGGTATATCTGTCACTGATAAATGATTCCTCATCTCCCTAGTGGCCTCAATACCACTAAAGTTTTGAGTCCTACCAACCATTGGTGCTCCAATGGTCCATTGTTGGTTCTGGATTGGACCTTTTAAACCACACATGTGTTTTGGAGCTTTATTATCATCTATATATCCAACTATATGAATCCTATGTATTCAGCTGACAGGAACCTCATGAAGTTCAACAAGGAGAAGTACAAAGTCATGCACCTGAGGAAAATCAACCCCATGCACCAATACATGCTAGGGGCCACCCAGCTTGGCAGAAAAAGACATGGGGGTCCTGGTGGAGACCAAGTTGAATATGAGCCAGCAATGAGACCTCACAGCAAAGAAGGCAAATGATATCTAGGGCTCCATTAGATACATTGGCAGTAGGTGGAAGGAGGTGCCCGATGCCAGGACCAGAGGCAATGGGCACACACTGGAACACAGGAGGTTCCCTCTGAACATCAAGAAACATTTTTTCACTGTATGGGTGACCAAGTACTGGCAGAGGTTGGTTGGAGGGGTTGTGGAGTCTCCATCCTTGGAGATAATTCAAAAACCTTATAGGCACAGGCCTGGGAAACCAGCTCTGGGTGGCCCTGCTTGAGCACAGGGGGGGTTGGACCAGATGACCTCCAGAGATCCCTTTCAACCTGAAACAGCCTGTGATTCTGTGATATTTGAATCCCTTCTTTAAGCCATGGACAGCTAGAGGGTAGGTGTGTGGTCACTCAAGTGTTGGTGGATCTGATTAATGTTTCTGCCAGAGCTGTCCCCTGCAGTAGCACTGACCACATCTTAGTGACTTAGTTGAATTATTTGCCTCTTTCAGCTTTGTGAACTCAGCTCCTTCCAGGGCATAAGCAAAAGAGAGGAGAGAAGGTCCCCATTTTGTCATAGTGTCTGCTTACATTCGGGTGTTTTGGCCAGAACTTAGAGAGAAACCAAAGAGTTTGTACAAGAATAAGAAGGAAATCTGTAGCAGAGGAGAGACAAAGTTTCTTACGCTGTAGGTCAGGCCCCTGGACTCTAAACCACCCTTCTCCTTCTGGAAACTCTTTAACACACAAACTTGATCCTCCCATCTGGATTGTTCCCACTGTTTATTCACTTCTTCACTCTCCTCCTACCAGAGGTCAATCTCTGTTCCCAAACTGCCAGGAAAGTTAATACCTGACATGGCACAACCTGGCTCTCTCCTGCACTTCAGCCCTGAAGTGTTTAACGGGGCTGGGGTTGAGGTGCAGAGGGGTGGGACTCTCCTTCCTCCTGGTTTGGCCAGGTTGTTATTTCCACACCCACCGGATGGCATCTGCTGCTCTGGTCTCTCTGGGTGAATTGAACCTTTAATAATTGTCAAACTACTTAAAGGTCCAGCCAAGCCGGCCTGTGTGTAAACAGTTGAGACAAGTGCTTGACTTGAAGCTTTCTTGGTAAGACAAGAACAGTTTCTCATCTCAGAGATCTCTGAAGGATGGCAAATTAATGTGTACGGCCTACAGTCCAAAGGCAAAGAACTGTTACCAGCTCTGGGTTTTGCTCTCCAAACCAAGCCATGGCTTTGCTGGCTTCCCTGAGCTTCTCCTTCACATGGTTGATGGCTGCTTGATGGTTGATCCCATCTCCATGGGGTGCTGGTTTGTTTCTTGGCTGCTAACAGCAGTAATGACCCTCCATCAAAGGTGTTATGAGTCCTTCCAGATCCCAAATCTATGCTGATCTTGACCTTCCTAACAAATTAACTTAAATTTGTGTGTTGAAGGATGAGACCTACTTTATGCTTCTTCATGGAGAAATATGTTGATAGCTACAGTTGTTCAGTGATTACTCTGTAGCAGAAACTCTTCTTTATTCTCTCTACTCAAATGTGGATCTAAGGCACAGGTGAAACCCTGCCCCAGTTCTCCCAGCTCCCCCAGAGACGCGGTGAGACCTGCTCCATCCACTTTCAGCTGTGTTAGGGAAATGCATACACGGTCTTTCAGGAGCTGGTAAGAGCCCATGTACTGGCCAGGATCTCAAGCAAATTAATCCAAATTAATTTTAAACTCGATTAGTTAAACTGTATTAACATCCCAAGTAGATGCTCTAAGATGGAATTAAAGTGGCCTTTGTTTGGTACTTGTTTTGGTTTGTTTGTTTGTTTAAG